TGTTCAACTGTAAAAAAAGGGGCTTTTAGGTTCTGAAAATGACACGTAAATGTTCAGGTTCTGGTCTGTCCTCTGATGTTGCCTGCCTTTATATATTATGATAACGTTCTTTGAGACTTCTGCTTCTGAGCTTTCCTGCAATCCTGTGAAAGATTCAGAAGAGATTCAGAAGATCTTGAGCATGCATCTTCTACACAGTGACTGATTCTCACATTACAAAATAAGGCAAATTCAAATCTCAGTTTATTGTAGAGGTTTGCTTTTCTTACTAACTCCTGCGCAGTTTTGACTTAAAATTTTATGCAAGAATAAATCAGCCTAGGTGGTGCTTTGGAAAAGTAAACTTATGCCCTCCTGTGATTAATTCAAGCTAGTGTGTGTGACATCAACCTGATTCTGCCAGTTTTCTTTTTAAAGCAACCAATTTTAGATGTTGAGCTTGTGCTAACATTGAGTTGATGTCTATGTGATTATGAATGGGTAACAGTTGCTTGAAGTACTCAATGAGCAGCTTGAGAGCAGCCAAATTAGTAAGAAATTCAGCTTGCTTGGATAGGCGAAGGTAGTGTAATGGTGTAGTAGGTTCAAATCGTTCTAGGATAATTCAAGTTGGAAAAGACCATGTAAAACAAATGCTCAAATCGGAGTAAGCTATGAGGTCAGACCAGGTTGCTCAGTGCTTTAACCAGTTGTCTAAACTTTTCCATGCTCTTAAGCTGCAAACTCACTTGGCAATGTGTATTCAGAGATAGTTTTGGAATTCTGTTGTTTTTAAGGTTTGATTACTTGTTTTGGAAGTTTCTGAATTCATTTTTAGCCTTCAACATATCACTGTTTTAGAGATGGGAAGATGAGATTTGTGCACGATACCACCTAGAGTTCAGGTTTGGAAAAATCTCACTCCCTTTTTCAAAGGGAAGGTATTAAAGGGAAACATGGATTTGCCTAGAAAATAGAAAAATGTGTTGGTTAAAGCAAGCTGGCTAATCTTGGTGGTTGTTGGTCAGACTTCATGTTTTGGACATTGTGTAGTCTTGTTTAGTTCCACTTTGTATGAGATTACTAACATGGGTTAATTGTATGTACAGAAAGTGTCAGTAGTCTAAGCAGAAGAATGTCACTTCATTCAGAATTCTTCAGAGAAATCCAGCAGCTGGTAAACACGGTTTTCCTCCTTTTTTTTTATGTTACTACATGTTAATATGATAAAAGTAGCTCTGAGAGTGCTACCTACATAGCAGAACAGATTCTGAGACTTCTGAAGGATACAGAGTTTTCCTCAAGATAGATGTCATTTTGCTTTCATGGGAGCTCAGCAGTTAAAAAAACCAAACAACTAGGTTTTCAGTTGCTTGGTTGATAAACTCAATATTTCAACTGAAATTTGCAAGCTGATTAGATTGATAGCAGATCATAAATCTTAATTCATTACTGTATTTGTAATGTTGAAATGATGGGCAGTCTTTATAATAATTGAGGTGGAATTAAGATGACATAGAAATATGGCTTGGGGATTTATTTATAATATGCTTGTCAGCATTAATGTCTTGGAAATTTTTTGTACCTTGTGTTTGCTTCTAATCTTAAGACCTAGTCCACATTTTTTCCCCCATAGCAGTGTACTTCAGTGTATATACGGTTACTTGAAAAGTATGCTTGGTTTGGTTTTTTTTTGGTGATGTGATAAGAACTTGGCTGTCTTACGACGAAAGTGACTTTTAACTTTTGTTTGGCATAGGCTGTAGGAACATGGGCATGTTGGCACTCCTTCCCAAGAGCAGATGTGTGGTTCAAATAGACTTCCATTCTGAGTTGATAGCTGTTAACATGTTTCAGATAGGCACATGGAAGACATCCTATATTAGCCATCTACACGCATGGAGAGTTTTGCATTTTGCATTATGACTGTGTAACCTTTTCAAATACCTTAGTGATAAAGAAGTAGTTGATAGTGAAATTTGCAGTTATGTTGTTTACTTTCCTCTGAAGAGATACAGAACAGACGGGTGATGAATGTGGAATTACTTTACATTTTGAATTTGTTGCTGTTACTAATTAATATCTTATACAAGGCTGTAACATTAGTCCTTCTTTTTCTTCTTTGTATATGCAGTAGTTTTGCTAATTTTTTTGCCCCTCTTCCCCTCTAGGAAGTAATTCAAGTTGTCTTCAAAGTCTGAGTCTTTAAATGTGTTGTCTAACTGAACTGACATCTTGGTAATAGGCCATTTTGTTGCTAGCTCCTCCCTTCCCTTCTAAATAGATATGAACTGGTCTGGCCCCCTTTTTTTTATTTTAAATTTATTTTTAATAAGTCCTCCTATTGTTACAGGTTAACTGTTTTGAAAAATGAGAGGCATTCCAATTTTCTTCTTTTTCCTGAGACTAGAGGACACAGGTCTCAATTGCACAAGATGCAGGCTAAAGTGGAGTCCGACACTGACAGCTTGCTTACAGACCTTAAAAGTTGTATTGCCTATTGGAGATCCAAGCTGTGTTGAAGCTACCATGTCTGGACCTCTGCAGATGCAGAGAGGAGATTAGTCTCTTATTTTAGCAGCTGCAAAACAGCAGTGTGGAACAGGCCTTCTGGAGAAATCTCCTACTGTAGGTTTTGTCTTGTTTTGAAACTGAGGTGTCTAATGCCCTGGAAAAACCTGTTCCGATTCTGCTGCTTCTTCCATTAGTTCCCAGTTTCTGTTCTTCAGACATCTAATGGGAGGGGCTTTGTGTCATTCTTGAAGGGTGCATAAAATTTTTGCAAGGTTAATTTGACAGGCTTGCTCTGGATATTCTGTAAGACATGTGTTTTTCCATTGCCAAAAAGTGTTTGATTTCGTTTCCCAGTCAGTGAAGTGTGTATTATCTTTGCTATCCTCTTGTTCTGGCACAATGGGATTTATTACCATTTTATAGTATTTTTACCCTCTTCATTGTATGGTTCATTCATTGTTCTCATAATATTTTACCCTATCTGAACTGTTTTTTGTTTGTTGCAGTTTTTTTGTTTTTTGTTTTTTGTTTTTTTTTTTTTTTCCTAGTGGCAGTGCTTGTCCCTGCTGTAGTGGGGAAAAGTTGTCATGCTTTTTCTAGAAAATAAATAATTTCTTTACTTCTGTTTTCCCCATATCTTTGGCTCTTCTGCCTCGCTAGTGCTTGGGTTCAGTCTGTGGTTATCCTGAACACCTTTTTCTGAATTCCTGCCTATGCAAGTAGCTAGAGTTGTATTGATACTGCCTTTTTAAGTATCCCTGTAGCTTAATTTCTTTTCTGCCTGCCATGAATTATATTTTCCAATGCGCTTTCTGTTTAGCAGGTGGTTTTAAGCCATCTCCTGAACATTTCTTAAAGAGGGATGTTGAATAGCTCTTCCCCTGTGCCATAGAGATGTATTTACTTCATACAGTAACTTCTTTAACTGGGGACCTTGTGCACTAACTTCCAAGGTTTTTAATATGTGGTTTTCAGTTGGTTAGAAATAAAATTATAAAACACAATTTACAAAAGTAATTCAGTTTCCTAGCATAGATTCTGACTTATCTTGGGTAGCAGAAAACCAAATTGCACTTTCATTCATCTGTAATGGTTAGTCACTGCTTAATTAAGAAATCTCAAATACCATAAAGTAAGTTTGATTTTTGTGTCATTTACTTCTCAGTCATGAGAACTGGATGTCTTCCTAGTCATTTTTGTACAGGACAATACAGAATTTAATGGGTGGTTGTTGGATGTGCTTTCCCATAGGTTATAATGAAATATAAATTACTTTTTCAGTGCTGATATAGTTCAGATTAGTGTGAAAGTTTGCCTTTTGATAATTGTTTTTGCTTATTACCACTTCATTAAACATAGAAAAAGAACATGGCAAATGACATTAAAGATCAGACAACCTTGTTACCATATTCCTGTGTGAAATTTAGGGAACATGTGTCACCATTCAAATTCTGAAATGTATTCCAAACTAAGATAGATGAAAACTAGTATTTTTGAGCTAGGGACAGTGAAGTCACTTCAGTGAAAACCAGTGTAATTTAGTGAATTCTGCAGTGCAGAAACCAAGTGTAACAGGTTGTAAGCCAGTTTAGCATGCTCTCTTAATTAACTCTGTCAACTTATAGAAAGAGTACAATTTTCTTTTCAATATATTTTGAAAAACAAATATATAGCTATATGTAAAGGGTAACAGTTTGTTTGTTAAGGCATGGGCTTGTGTGATGTTTTCACTAAAAGCAATTGAGGTTTGCAAAAAAAGTAGATGAGCTGTTTAATTTTAATTTCTGATTTTGTCCTTCTTCTAATGGTGGTTATACCATGCCCTTGATCTGAAGAAGGAAAAGTGTTCTATTTCATATCTCTCAGTACAACAAACTTCAGCTCTGCCAACAAGACTATTTTAGTTTGTAATGTGTTCTTTAGTTAACTTGAGTTTAAAGGAAATGGGATTGCATAAAGTTTACATTTCGGCTCCATCATTGAGACACGGCTTCAAAATTATGTTTAAGCATACTGGCATTAGGCAAACACTTAGAAGCGTGGTTAAACCTACTATGCTAATTCAGATCTTGTTATTTTGACTTTTCAATTATCAAAATCCTTTCAATTCTCATATTGCTTTGAGGATTTTCTCTTTCCAAATTTTTGTGAATTTTCCCCCATTACTAGACTGAATGTGATTGCTTAGATCAGTAGAGTAGTAGGGTTTCACCTTCCATCCAAGTCTCTTGGTTGGTAAAGAAGCTTATTAATAGCATGCTAGAAAGCCTGTTTTCAATGCTATTGAAATTTTGATTGCAAAATAGTGTGGGTTTTACATTGTTTGTGAAGTCCTTTAAAAGTTAGTGCTATCATTGTGCGTCTATGTGTGCACTCACGTATACAGTGTATGAGAGCCTGAAGCTGTATAAACGTATCTTTAGGATAAATTCTAGTTAATCATTTATTCCCAAATTACTTTTACCTGATCACTATAGCTGTGTTACTTTGATATGTCTTTTCTGCAGACACCAAAGATGCTAACGAGAAAGATTAAGCTTTGGGACATTAATGCCCATATAACCTGTCGTCTGTGCAATGGATACCTGATTGATGCTACTACTGTAACAGAATGCTTACATACTTGTAAGTAGAAGTATAATTAAATTAAAGAAATTGTTTTGTTTTGCTTTTTTAACTTGATGTGCAACATGTTTTAATGGATTTTAGTTGAAATTAAAAAAATCTATGGTGCATCAGCCAAAATACTGCGTGCTTCACTAGATACTGGGGGTTTTTTAACATCAATTTTAACATTAATTTTTTTTAATGTTGTCTTCATTTGCTTTGTTAAAAAAACAAATTACTGTTTTTTTAACAAAGCAAATGAAGACAACATTAAAGCTCTACTGCTCAAACTTGAAGCCATATACAATTAGTGGTAATATATGCGTTCAAGAATGTAGTCTGTCTTACTGCTAAAGGAATGTGGAATACCTAGTTCTGTCTTCTGTGACAGCTGATGTAGCATATGTTCTCCACCTGGAGCCTTCAAAATGTCTCTTGCTTTCCTGTTTCTCCGCAGAAAGTAGCCATAGTTTATCAATAAAGAACAAGTATGTTGTATTGTACCCTAGAAATAAGTTTTTGTTTCAAAATACTGTGATAAGTAGTTGTTGTTATGTTACTTTGTGAATTTCTAATACCTTGCAAAGCCTTGGGCTTCAAGAAAAGTGAAGGTATAAGTCCACCCCAGCATCTTTGTTGTTGACATCTTGGGATACAGGAGTGCTAGGGTTTGCAATAGTCTGATGAAAACCTTGCATATTAGCACAGTTCTGACTAAAGATCTGGAAAGATTCCTTCTGAGGAGAAGCACCCTTATAGTCCGAAGTGGTAACTACAAAACTATTTTCTGTCTTGAATCTGTTCTGGTCATCAGTTTCCTTTGCCAAGGTAGGTATCAGCTGAGGAATTAACCTTCAGTGCAGAAGGCCTGCTGTAGTGACATTAAACACCCTCTGTGGCAGCTACCTTGATGACGTTACACCTCACATTACAGGGTTTTACCAGAAGTATTTTTTTTTCTAGCTGTGTCTTCAGAATCCCTGCAATTTACCTGCATTCTTGTCATCCAGGAGTTTCCATTTGTCCATTTTTATCTGTTCAGAGCTTAGAATATTTGTTTTTGTTGATACGCACCTGTATTAACCTATTAAATAGTATTTGCCATGCAACTTCAAACACTGCATGTTTTAAAATGCTTCTGTCACAGTATTTTATTCTGATAAAGCTAGTATGCTGTTTGAATAGCTTTAATGACCCATAGTCCTAAACTTGGAAGGGAATTATTTGGTGGCAGTGACTTCATCTCCACAAAATGAAAGTTTCAGCAGACTTATTCTTCATCTGAAATGTCATAACAAAGGGGAATACAATGCTCATGATTTGTCAAAATTAAGTTTTCCATTGTATTTAATTTCATCAGCTCATTAATTTCATCATTTAATGTTCATCAGCTTCAGAGAGTTTGTTGTTCTTGTCATGCTTCCATGTCACTTTGGTTATTCTTATGTTCCTTCTGCATCTGTTTTAACATCTTATTTTCTATATTGTTCTTTTTGGAACGTAGATATCCTTAAGCTAGACTTCTACTTAGTTTTGCCCCAAATTCTTCACTACTGTTATTAACAAGATATATACAAAACTAGTACTGTAACAAGTTAACATGGCATGACAGAGAGCTAGGTCATTTTTCATTGTTCTTTAAAACCAAAACAAAATAACCAAAAAAACCCCACTGAACCACAAAAACTCCTCATCATCCTCATAATTTCTTACATTTGCTTATGGAAGAAATTTTTAGATTAATCCACGGTGCTACAGTGCTTCCGTGCTTGCTTCTAAAGCCAGAGAATGCTCCTTACTAGCTTCTGCTTCTGTTTGTTTTTTTTTTTTTATACCTTGTGGCTTGTCCCTCCCTTATTTTGGCTGTTTATATTTTCAGAATACTACTTCAATGTGTGTCCTGTAGAATTACAGTTTTCAGAGAAGAGGTACACAGCCCTGTCTTTTTAAAAAAACTGTATAAGTTTTGTATTGATTGTATTCTGTATGTTAATGCTAATAATGTATGTTCCTGGAAAAGCAACCTTGCAAGATCTATCCTGAAAGTGCCCTGTCTGAGATAGTGAATTGCCTGCTGAATTACACTACTGTGAAAACTTCTTTCTATTTCTACTCAGAACTGCAGAGTTTTCTTGTCTTTTTCATTTTTCTCTAATTTCCTGTCCCTCAGACATCCAGAGACTCTTCAGTAGTAAATGCAGTTCTTGAGTCCTTTGGTGAGGGTCATTTGGAGAACCAAGGCCAGTCCCTTGGAGGACAGGGTGAACTTCTTTTGTAAAACAGAATTCAGGGGAAAACAAGCAGGCTTTGCCCTCTTTTCTGCTTGTTTCTTTGCTATATCTTCAGTTTGTTGGTGACAGGCAGGCCTATAAGTCAGTAGATAAAAACTTCATTAGTAGTAACTCAGTGTTAAGTCTTTCCTCGTTTACATCTGTTTCTTGATTAGAATTCTAGGTTAGCAGATATATGCAAGTCACGTTAAACTTTCACATTTGTAATTTGAATTTCATTAGTGTTTACTTGTGAAAGTTGTCTTCATATGTTATGAAAGGGAAAGCCTCCTATGTTATGAAAGTATTAATTATGTTGTGGGCTCATGAGGATGATGAAAGACCAACTGTATTTCTTGAACTAGATACAGAAATTAAAAAAAGTCAAGAGGAATGAAGCTGTGTGTGTTTAATCCTCACTCTTTTTCTTTAACCTTTCCTGTTCCTTTTCTAATGAAAGTTCTCTGATATGTTTAAGTGTACTGTAAAAGTAACCAGAAAATGTACAGCTCAGTTCAGGCCTACAATCAGGGCCGAAATACCTGGATAAATGGAGATCGGAGACTTTGGAAATCACAGGTACTGGAAAAATTCTAGCAATAGTATTGTTTTAGACCTAGAGTGGCTACCATATTGGCTGTCACATATTCCTAGGACTTCCACTTCCAGGAGTTTATTAATCCCAACTTCACCCTGTAAAAAAAGAACCAATCTAGAAGACTGCAGTGCCCTCCTTAAGCTGTCTAGTTACATTTATTTGGATGCTGTGCTCAGACTAATACACCTGCCAGCACCTGAGGCGACTTGTAATGAGTTACATTTAGGAGAAATTAGCGTATACTTAGTCCAAACTGCAAGATGTACTGAAATAGGAGGTTGTTTTAGAAGGTATCGTGGAATGGTATGATTTGGAAGGGACCTTTAAATGTCATCTAGTCCAACACCCCTGCAATGAGCAGGGACATCTTCAACTAGATCAGGTTGCTCAGCACCCTGTCCAACCTGACCTTGAATGTTTTCAGGGATGGGCCATCTACAGCCTTTCTAGGCAACCTGTTCCAGTGTTTCACCACCCTCATCATAAAAAGTTTCTTCCTTCTATCTAGTCTGAATCTACCCTCCTTTAGTTTAAAACCATTACCCCTTGTCCTATTGCTACAGGTTCTGTTAAAAAGTCTGTCCCTACCTTTCTCATAAGCCCCCTTTAAGTATTAAAAGGTTGCAATAAGGTCTCCCCTGAACCTTCTCTTCTCCAGGCTAAACAACTGCAACTCTCTCAGTCTGTCCTCATAGGACAGGTGTTTCACCCCTCTGATCATTCTTGTGGCCCTCCTCTGCACCCACTCCAACAGGTCCATGTCTTTCTTGTACTGAGGACTCCAGAGCAGAGTAGAGGGGCAGAATCACCTTCCTCAAACTCCTGGACACGCTTCATTTTATGCAGCCCAGGATATGGTTGGCTTTCTGGGCTGCAAGTACACATTGATGTCTCATGTCCAGCTTTTCATCCACCAGTACCCCCAAGTCCCTCTCCACACAGTTGCTCTCAATCCCTGCATCCCCCAGGCTGTATTGGTACTGGGGGGTTGCCCTGACCCAGGTGTAGGATGTTGCACTTGGCCTTGTTGAACTGCATGAGGTTCACCTGGGCCCACTTCTTGAGCATGCCCAGGTCTGTCTAGATGACATCCTGCCCTTCAGACGTGCCAACTGCACCACTCAGCTTGGTGTCATCTGCAAACTTGCTGGGGGTGCACTCAATCCCACTGTCTGTGTCATCTAGTAGGATCTGTTCCATGATCTTCCCAGGCAGAGAGGTGAGGCTGAAAGATCGGTAGTTCCCAGGATCCTCCCTTTCTACCCTTTTTAAAAATGGGTGCAAAGTTTCCCTTTTTCCAGTCACGGGGTACTTCAGCTGACTGTCACCTCGGCAGCTACATCAGCCAGTTCCCTCAGGACTCTGGGATGCATCTTGTCAGGTCCCACAGGCTTAGTATGTTCAGGTTCCTCAGGAGGTCTTGAACCTGATCTTCTTTTACAGTGGGAGGGACTTTCCTCCCCCAGTCGTTTGAGGCTCATCCACTGGAGAGGCATGGGAAGAGAGATTGCCAGTGAAGACTGAGGCAAAACAGTTGTTGAGTACCTTAGTTTTTGCTCATCTGTTACCAGTTTGCCAGTTGTGTTCACTGGGGGGATATGCTTTCTTCGACCTTTCTTTTCTGGCTGACATTCCTGTAGAAGCCCTTCTTATTCTTTGCGTTCCTTGCCAAGTTTTGCTCCAGCTGCTCCTTGGCCTTCCTGACGCCATCCCTACACAATTGGACAATGTCCCAGGATACCTGTCCCTGCTTCCACTGTCAGATGCTGCTTTCGTTCAGGTGGTAAGACTGGGAGTTGGCTTCACTTTTGCAAATGGATTTACTGCTCTGATGTTCCATTGGAATAGGCTGCTGTGCAAGATCCGTGCTTAGTGTGCAAAGCTATGAGGCTTAGTCTGACCATTACCAGCAACAGTACTGTCATCCGAAGTGTGTACAGAATGCAAACTCAGTATGCTTCATTTGCTGCTGCGTAATTTTTTATTAACAGGTGTTTAGTTGAACTATAAGTACATCGTCTGATTGATGGCACTATAGTTACATAAATTCTTTCATCTTCTGTGACTTATTAATACCAAGATTGAATGAACTGCTGCTGTTTAAGAAAAAGCTATTCCCCCTCCTTTCCCCCCGCCCCTACATTTTTGAGTTGTAATTTCAAGTGAGTCAGTATATCATGTAGTCATGTATATTATGAGTACTCTGTTGGGGTGGGGGAAATGTAAATAGTTTACTTTGAATGAGATACGGATATTGTGTGTATGCGTACGGAAACAGTTCCAAAAATGCGCACCTTTATAATGAACAGCAACTTTAGCGAATTCTACCAGGACATTTTACAAATATGGAGGGTGTGTGCCCATTTTTTTCTGGTGGAAGTTTAACTGTAGTGTACTCTGTGAAAGTTAGAATTAAAACAGCACATAGATATCCACTTTTGAAAGTTTTCTGTTCTTTTAAAAAGTATCCAACTTTGGAATAAATTTTTTGTGTTGGGTTCATTGTCACTGTATGCTTTACTTCTGTATGTGGCCATGGTTAAAGCAAATATGCTTAGTATCTTAATGGCATACAGTTCCTATAATATCTGCGCAAGCTGAATGGTGCAATCAATATGATGTTGACCTGCTAGAAATACTGCTCTAGTAAATTCTGGAGTGGGATTGTGTGTTGTATGCTTTATTAGGAAGACTCTGGCTAGGTATCAGATGCCTTAATTCTAGTGCATCACTTCCCTGTATCAAGAACATTAATGAAAGCTATTGGGAACTGTATTCTGCATGATTAGACATCATGCTTACATGATGTAAAAAACTAATTCTGTGTAAATTTCAGTAAAGTACATTTCTGTGACTGTATAAAAACAAACTTTTTTTTTCATTATGCTTCTTTTATTTCTTTTTAATTATGAACGTCCTTGTTACCAGTCTGTAGAAGCTGCCTGGTGAAATATTTGGAGGAAAACAACACCTGTCCAACCTGTAGAATTGTTATACATCAGAGCCACCCGTTACAGTATATTGGGTAAGTCTGAAAGCAAAAGTGCAACTGGCTTCATGCTAGACTGTTTCAGTCTCTTCAGTACAGCACAGCTTTTTCCTACATTTTCTGACTTGCTTATCAGCATGTTAAACATTTAAAAGGAAGGTTGAAGGTGATATAGGAGATATGGGAACAAACTTTGCTATGGATTTGGAACTCTTTGACATCTGTTAGCTTCTTCCACGCCTAAAAGCAAGCAAAGTATGCGCTTTACTGTTTAATTTCTGTGTGAGTTTAATGGGATTTAGTCATTCCTCATTTTGTATGCTTGGGTCGTAAAAGTTACATAAATGAAACATTTGTAGAAATTATACTTCTAGAAAATCCTCAAAATAATTAGTCTCAGTTGAACATTGTTTTTCAGGGTCTGACGGAGTAATGAGAGAAATAATTAGCAGCTTTATTGTTCAGTTAATCTTTCAAAGGTCTGTTTAGATCATAGGTAAGAATATGGCAGCAGAAGTATTAGAACAGTGGCTTTTACTCTCTAGAATGGAAGTCTTGTCCTTCATTCTATTTTGATCCCTACACAGAGCACTCTCACTTTCTGACCTGGCATGAACATGGTATTCTTCATCGGTGTGCTTTTTTTTTTTTTCCTAAGTATTTTTGTTTTTGCTTTTTTAATTTTGTTGTCAGAAAAGACATTCCCTTTGTTTTCCTTCAGTGTTTTCTGTTCATTTTACTGAACTGTAGTAATTTTCACTGATGAAATCCATTGTGACAGTGTGTTTGCACTAGCTGTTGCATATCAAGTAGTGTTTTGTCTGCCTTTATAAAGAGTTTGCTTTAGTTTGTGACAGTTTTAAATGTACCTTTCTCAGTTCTGTAACAACTTCTGAAGCAGTGCTTACAAAAAATGAGTCTGATTTCTCTTCACTTCTACCGAAAACTGTCTATGTTCTATACACACTTACATTGCTCAAGCTGATCCTGATTCAGGAGCCTGAAACCAGTTATGCCATCTCTGTATTTGAATAATAATAGTGTACACTGATAATAAGTTATATGATACACTGGTAATACCCTGTATGAGTGTATGCTTTGAGGGACAAGTAGGTGCCAATAGGCAAGAACAAATACATGACTCTTATGACAGCATGTTTCTCTTCTGTAAAGCTACAGGAATACACCAACGCCTTCATTCAGAAGCTTGTTTTCTGTGTCAAAATGGGCCAGGAAGCAGCATCAAATTTAGAACAGCTAGAAAGCAATTTGCTACTTCTTTTTGGTCATTGAATACACTTCAAAGGAAGTATTTTGCCTCAGCTGTTTATAAAATACTGCCCCTTCAAGACTGAAGCAGCCTTTGCCCAGCCTACTCTTGGATATATATATATATATATTTTTTTTTTTTTTAAATAAAGAATTAATAGTCAGGAGTTTCACAATATGATGTGAATGTAGATTTGCACTCCTGCTCATCTCCCTCTGTCTCAAAAATAGGTAGACCAAATGTGTGTCTTATTTGACATTTCTGAGTGCTGTTAAATTCTCACCTCTGATCAGTGATGGCTGATTTACTCATTTATGTCGAAATGTTTTTGGAGGTGTTCCTGCAATCCATATCTGACACTTGAAAATCCCAGCCTGTGTAAATGGGATTTCTACTGGTTGAAATGACATGAATTTTAGAAGTAATGATATTTTTATTTTTCTTGTAGTGCTACTTAAGAGATTGTAACGGTCAGTTTAAATCTCTTGATTTGTCACCATTTCTGTACTTTTCACTGGTCTCCACAGCTGTGAAGTACTCATGTCAGGTGATGAGAAGCCTGAGACTGCTCTTGTAAGCCTCTTCATTTAAGTCAGATTCAGGATCTCGTATTGCAAGCTCTGTTGGGGTAATGACCTGGTAGCAGATGAGACAGACATTTGAAAAGTCTCTGATTCTGTTTATCAGTTAGAATTTAGGGTAATACTTTGTTTCTTTCAGACAGCAACGTATTTTAGACTAAACCAGAATTTTGTCTAGGTGATCTGGGAATTAAAGTTTAGAATTTTAACTGGTCCTGCTGCCTTCCAGTTTCAGTGGAATTATGACCTTTTATTTGAGCCACACTAACCTACATGGGCTTCTGAGCTACATAATATTGCTCACAGTTAAAATGTTGGCTTTTAAGAGCAAAGTAAAGTTTTATTGTGGTCTTTTTCTGTGAGCTGCTCTCTGGCATTTTTGGAAAAGCCTTGTAAAAATAACTTAAGTTATCTAGAAATGTGAGAGATGAGTCCGTAGGGTTAAGAGACAGACTATCCTTGATTGTTTTGTAATAAAAATGAGTTTACCTCAAATTTGTCAAAGAATTTTGTGATAATTAGTGACATGCTTGCCTTGACCCAGGAGGCCATGTGTCCAAGACTATTATTCCTAAAACTTCTATTTGGTTTCTGCCTTAGCCTGTACTTTTTCATAATTCATTACATGTTACTGTCCTCTCTTGTTTGATATAAATACTGATTTGAGAACTGAAATTCTTCTTAGGTGAATTTAGAGATTTTACATCAAGTCAGTACTGGAACTTTTTTTAAGATAAATGTTTTGAATTGAGATGGTTGACTTAAGCATTTGATTCTGTTTTTTCTTGCTAGTCATGACAGAACAATGCAAGATATTGTTTACAAACTTGTGCCAGGCCTCCAAGAAGGTAAGTTGTGGTATGACATTGTTTTTTAGAGGTTGTTTTGCACATACTTTAACACTTAAAAAAAGTTTCAGGTGATGAAAATGCACGGGGCAGAACTGAGGAAAAATGCAAGGAAAACCAATGGAAAGCTTTTGTTTATGTAATTTCTAGTGATTAATTTAATTTCATACCTGTACTAGCAGCAACTGGGGGGAGGTGGTGGTGGGAGGAAAGATGGGATATTTCTTTGAAAAGTAGTATTATGTGAAGGAGAATCATCTTTTGAATGGTGGCACACTAACTCTCATTTATTCTTGTTAAACTGTGCAGTTAAACCTGTTGTGCCAGCTTTCTAGAATTCTCAGAGGTAGAATGTAATGCAGAACAGCTTTTAGTTTCAGTGAAGTTTCTGCTACTGTGTGAGTCCTTTCTTAGCATGTAACTTTCAATGTGTGTTTTCATAATCTTCTTTGAGACTAAATCTGTTCGACTAAAGACATACTTTATAGTAATTGCTCAGTAATTTTTTTCTTAATGTATTTTGTTACTTCCATTTAAGTAGAGTATTGTAATCCATTTAAGTTGCAAAACCAGAACATTCTCAAACATCAATGAGATTAAATAGATTATTTAAAAATTATTTCTAGCATACTGAAAATCAGAACTATAAATAAAAATTCAAAAACAATGGTCTGACTGAAATAGTGTGGGAGGGACTCAAAATAAGGTACAGTATTTTAAATACTATCTCATTCTAATAGGAATGCTAGAATAGTAGCTATACAGATGACTTTGTAGTATTGTAACTCTGAAAAATGCAGGCATGATTTGATACAATACTGAAGATAGAGTAGTGAATAATGACAGTATCACTACTTCTTGGTAAGTCTGTTTCACTTAAGAGGGAAGGGATTTGGAATAACTCGTAAATATTGCATTAGAACTTTATTACAGGGATTAATATTTACAATTTTAAACAGCGGAAATGAAAAAGCAAAGGGAGTTTTATCACAAACTGGGCATGGAAGTTCCAGGGGACATCAAAGGAGAGACATGTTCTACAAAACAGCACCTAGATTCCCATCGAAATGGTAAATGGGCCTTTATTTATTCTGTCTTGGGTGGGTGGTGGCTAATAAATTGATGAATAGACCTGTTGGAGGTATGTGCCTAGTTGGTTTATTACAGTCACAGTTGTTTTATAACATTTCACAATACAGTGAGAATAGGACTGTTGCTTTGTCCCTTATTTGTGCACAGAATCTTTTTTTTTTTTTAGCTGGTCATTGCATATTACTCTTGGTGAAGGAAATCTCCATAGCAGTGCCTACATGGGGACTCTGAAATTACCCAGCTTCTGGGCTGCTAGCAGTTGAAATAAAGGTTGTGCTTTGTATGTATCCCTCTCTGTCATGCGTTGGGCTGTTGGTAACTAGTGTTGCCTAAGCAGATAAGCACGTATTGGGAAAAGCAAAGTTTATTCTATATTGCAGTCCTAAGCTGTGCTGTTTTAATCGTATGATCATTAGAAGCTGCTGCTGAGTGTTATCCCATACTTCTGGTTTCTTATCTAAGGTGAAACTAAAACAGATGAAAATTCAAACAAAGAAACTTCTGAGGAAAAACAGGAAGAAGATAATGACTACCACCGAAGTGACGAACAGGTGAGCTCATAGGGCATGGTTTAGTTTTATCTTGTGTTTTAGCTTTAGTGCTTTGGTAAGCTTACAGAGAAGAAAAATAACTGTTTCAAGCTACTTTTTCTGTCCACTGATACAAACAAGATGCAGTGTTGCCCAGTTCTTTTGTGTAAGTAATGAGTTTCACATTTGGGTTTTGTTGGGGATGGAGAATATGTTAAAGACACTTGCATTAAGATCTGGTAGTTCTGAACGTTTGTTTATGAGTTTCCAAAGTATTTATTTGCTTTCAAAACAAAGTCAGTTTATTTGCCCCCCCTTCTGAAGGAGGGTATCCCAGTCTTTTTGTCATACATTGAGCTGAACATGTATCAATAATACATAAATAATGAATAAAATCTCTTGCACTTTTACTAACTTAGCATTTATTTTGGTTTAAACCTCTAATACTAAGACAGTGTTAGCCCTATGCCATAAAATAGTATGAAAGCCGTGAAGTTCAGCGTTACGTTTTAAACACAAAGCATGTTTGAAAGTGAAATCTCCTTTTGGCATACACAAACCATCCTTTTTATATTTCTGTGTTATATGTGTTGAGAGTAAATTAAACTTGGATTAATTTTCTTTTCAGTTATAATGCAAGGGAACTTTCAAAGGGATTGTGCCTAGTAATAGATCCTCTTAGTGCATAAAGTAAATCATCACAAAGAGCTTAGACTAAGTAATGAATAGCTGGATGAGAAAAGTGAGAATTGAAGCATAGAAATTAGAGACCTTGGGGGGGATAATGTTTGGAATTTTAAAAATTTGTTATGTAATTTTATCCATTATTTTTAAACTTTAAATTCTCCTTTAAAAAAAGTGTTAAAATTCTGTTTTAAACTGGATTTAGCAGTTGCATTAAAAGCAAGAAGTTACATTAGAAGCAATATAAAAAATTGGCAATAGTTTTCTTACTCTTTATTTTACTCTAGCTTTTGACATAGGGTATTCTTGAGCTATTGGCAGCCTATGAATTTGGACTGGAGCAGCCTTGTTCCAACATCAAAAATTCTTTCTTGAACTTTTTTGTCTTCATCTGTTTTGGTTGCTTGTCACTAAACTGACAAGATGTTAGAAAATGTTTTAATAGGACCACAGGCATTTCGGTTTAAGGAATACTAGCACTGTATTTTTTACTTCATTGTATTAATCAAAACTGCATATGGAATACATAATGAGGACCGCATAGAATTGTTTCGGTCAACCCTGACTTCTGCTTTTTCCTGAAGGTAAGCATCTGCTTGGAATGCAATAGCAGCAAATTGCGTGGATTGAAACGAAAATGGATTCGCTGCTCAGCACAAGCAACAGTCTTGCATCTAAAGAAGTTCATTGCCAAAAAACTTAATCTTTCTTCTTTTAATGAGGTAATATTTTAATTTAAAATTATGTTGCAGACATAAAAAGGTTATGAAAAGTGTGGGATTGTTACTTTGCAAAGGAATGTCTTTTAGTCTGATTTTATTTTCAGAAAACAGAGGCATACACAGCTTCTTGAATTATATGTTACACAGCCATATGTTCCTATTCTTGCTTGGGTCTATATACAGGACTTGTCACTTTGTTTGCAGTGTGTCTTTTCATGGACATATATATATATATATAGTTGAGCTAAAAGTCTTGGTTATGTGCTTCCACATGTGTTGAAATGGACTCTGGCAAGGTGCTTTGTTTGACAGCTTGTGGTCAGGTTTACCCCATCCTTTCAGAGATTTCGTACTCACTGCAGGGGACAGGAGTAGCAAACACTAACACTACTGAAGCCAGCTTAGGAGAGAGCAGTACAAATATTTTGTTCCTTTCTATGCTCTCAGTGAAGCTCAACCTGAAGTTGCTGCCTCCCATGAGCAGAGTGCTATCAGATACCTACTTTTCTCTTCCTTTGCAGGGAATACATGAAATCATGGGAAGAATTTATGGTGAAAGATACAGAAAGAAAGGCAATTCTTTGTACTTCTCCTAGTTCAGATTCGAAATTAACAGTGGCAAACGTGAATGCAGCCTCTGTTTACCGCTTTGCTGAGTCTTGGTGACAGTCTTTAGACATCTCAGTTGACTCTCAGCTTGACATTTCCCAACCACACATTATGTCACTGATTCACTGAATTTCAAGACTTTTCATTCAAATCAAATCATCTGCTTTCTAGTCTAGTGTGTTGACACCTTTCTGCTCAAACTTTTCAATAGCTAGTTTGCATCTGTATCACTCTTCCTCCCTAGCTTCTGTACACTTCAAACCAACACTCTTGTCTTATGGCTGGAGTATGTCCCCAAACTGCTAGTCTTCCTGAAACAAAACTGTATCTCCTGTCCTGTCCTCAGCTGCCTTGACAGCTGTTGACTCCCGGCAACATAACTACCAGCACTGTTCAAAAGGGGATTTTTTTGGGGTGTGTGTGTGTGTGTGTGTTTAAGCCCTCTATTCCACTGTGCCAGTCTGTGATTTAACAACCTGCTTGGTTTGTAGTGAAGGAATAAACTTTAAGGAGTACTGTTTATTCCTTCCCCATCCCTCCCTACCTTCTTAAAGAGTACATAAATTGTGGTGTAGACAATGTACTGGTGCTAAGGATTGGGTACATAGTAGAAGGATTTAAGCTTGTGGGCACTTGATTGCTGTAGACTATTGCAGGTTTGAGTTACTGCCAATTAAATAAGCAATGTAAGTGGACTGCACGCACATGCAGGCCTTTCTGTGTTGTGTGCTAAAGCGTTGTTAATATAAGCCACCTTGGTGGAACTTGATGTTTTCATGCATGTTCCTGTTTTAGTTCATGTTCAGCTCTGGTAGTTCAGCTGATTAGTAGTCATATGATCCTCATGTTTGTATGTTTATATCCTTGCTGTTTATAATATCAAGATCTTTCAACACTGAGGTAGAAATGTAAAAATAGCTATAGAGTATCTGCAAAAAATCCCATAAATATAGTGTATGAGGGAGGTGGCAGATATTTTTTTTTAAACGTATCCTTGCAGCAGAAAACCACGTGGCAGGTGTTAGGTAAAAAATTTTTAAGTATGTTAAATAATAGAGCTGTTTCTAAAATTTGTGAATTCTGTCTCCTTGATCATTTTATTCGGCCTTTTTAAGAGCATGTAAAGCTTTCAGGAAAGGGCATTAGTACTGCTTGGGAAGTTGAAGTCAAAGAGTTCAGTCCAGTTCATATAGTATTTCCTGGGTATGCACAGACATGGTCTTTCAGCACTTTATGTTGAGAAAAGACACTCTCTTCTTTCCTGGTACTATTTTTGTCTGCAGAGCAAGACAAAATGAAGCAAGATGAACCATTTGAATGTTTTCAGAGAAGAATAATCTTGTCAAATATTGGTAGTATTATCTGAAACATGTTGTTTCATGTACACTGTCCCAATGAATTAACTGTCATCTTTGTTTTGTCAGCTGGACATATTATGCAATGAAGAGATTCTTGGCAAGGACCACACGCTCAAATTTGTAGTTGTTACTAGATGGAGATTTAAGGTATGACACAGTGCTTCCAAGTAGATCATGAAGTGGCCAAATAAAATGTTTATAAAATAGGTATAATTTGGAACTATACTGCATTAACTGCAAACTGGAAAAAAAAGTTACTTTAATAAATATCTAATACAGCATCCTTAACCGCCAAGTATTAATTTTGTTTCCAAGAAAATGAAGGAAAGGGGAATTAGGTATTAATTGCAAGGGAAAAGGGAACACTGCATCAACCGTCAAATTGTTATCAATTCTGGCAAAGTAGGTGGAAGCCACGAGAAAGTATCATTTTTAGTTATTTTAGGTGAAACTGGTTTTAATCCTGTAGGTGGGGAAATTGATTGTGATGCAGAAAAGGCAGAAACTTGCAACACATTTCTTTTCTGTAGCTCAAGAGGGCTGTTTTACTAAAAAGTTAAAAAAAAAAAAAAAAAAAAAAGGAGAGGCAGTAATTATAATGCTTACAATGTCTGCCTTAGTTAAGGAAACTTCTAGTAGTGTTTAGTAGGCATAAACAAGGCTGGATAAAAATGTTTTGAGAACATCTTTGACTTGCTTATTGTGGTTTCTTTAAACAACTTCCTTGAAACTGGAGAGTAAACAGTGAGGCATTCATTCTGAGTATCAATTATTACATTAATAATGGCAACTCAAGTGAAATGGGTGTAAGAATGAATTGCAAAGTGGAACACTTAGGAGACAAGTCACAGCTACAGTCAGTGTATGTGTATTTGGGGATATTTGAACTAGGAGTTAGTATTCATAATGAACAACCAACACAGTCTGAGCTTACTGTGTACACTGAGGTAGAACCACTTGATGGCTTTGGATCCATATCTAGAAGAGGTGCATGTGGGAGTAGGGCAGTGTTATTCTGTCTTTGTGTAGAAAAATAATTGACTTGTGTAAGAGTCACAGGATAGAAATCAATGGTCACTCTTTGAAATGAGGAGAAGTCACGAGTGGAATCCTACTGGACTCTCTTCTGTGTGATATTCCTGAATGACCTAGAATGGTATTTCGGTAGTGCAGTAACAGTGCATTGACAACATTGTGGTTATGTAGGATAGTGAAGACAGACTGATGACAAAGGATTGAAGCAAGCCCTTACAGTTCTGAGTGAAAGGTGATTAATGAGCATCTTAAGTTCAATGTAGGTAACCATAAAAGTATATAAAGCAAATGTTAGGGATTTTTATTGGGAGGGAAGAAAATCAAACAACAGCATCGAAGTGATTGGCATCTGTACAAGTCTAATATTCACTTCTATCATAGAAATCAATGCAATTGTCACATGGAAAAGGGAACTGTAAACTGCCCTCTCAAGTGAAAGGGGTGGGGGATGTAAAATGAAACAGGGAGGTGGGAGGTCCAGACAAAGAAGAAGAAGCAATTCTTTACATGAGACGCAGAACTCCTTGGTGCAGGATGTTGTGGATGTTAGAAGTTTACCTATTCTAGAAAAAGCAATGGATACATCCACAGAAGAGGAATCAAGTGAGAGCTGTTAAGTATGAAGTACCACATGCTCTTATGCTGCTTTCTAGACATTTGCACTTCTCCCTTACTGGGAAGGGTTTTACAAGTTAAACAGACCTGGTCGGACTGATCTTAAGGTGATCAGCTCCTGAGACAAAAGGGAAAGGATTCTTCCTCTTTTGTTTGAGCACCATAGATGAAACTGCATCTTGTCTTTGTCTTGGTGAAATTTTGACAGGTCAGATAGTTCATTTAAGCTTTAGTTTATGAAACAAAAGTTTGCATACTGAACAGACTAGTTCTGGTTTTGTTTCTGAACTTACACGATATTTCTGTCTTGCAGAAAGCACCTCTACTGCTACATTACAGACCCAAAATGGACTTGCTGTAAGAGAACTTTATTGTCCTTCTGGACAGAGATTTTTGCAGAGACGATCATCTGGCACCTTCTTAGTGCATCACTAATCACATGACACAAACCAGCTGAATAATTTTGGAAGACTGTAGTCCTTTCATAGTGGACTGTCCTTCTGAATATTTCTTCTAGGGATGTGTTACCTAGATTTCTGGACAGAAAATATTTATACTTCTTTTGTATGGAAGAAAGAAGTCGTAACTCAACAAGACACTACCAGCACTAAGTTTACAGATACTGAAAACACTTCACAGTTCCATGTAGCTCAGCCTGATTTATCTCTTACAGTTACACAGAAATAAGTTAGAATGTTGTGGGGTGATTTTAAAACGTTGCTTTTCACATCAAGTTGCATTTAGTTACTTTTCACATTCTGAATCTTTAAAAACTATATTTTTGCAAAGTGTTACTGTCTTATATAGTATACCTGATTGCATTGGCTTTATTCAAGTTGTTCTGTAGAGCATTGAACATACTGAATGATATAGTGACTGGTGATAACTTATTATGCTGCATTGAAAATTTCTGAAAATCTGGGAAACCAATAAGTTTGTCATTTTTGCCTAGTTATTGCCTCACTTTGTGTTTAAGTAAAGTTTTGATACTCCCCTATGCATGTTGATTTGGTAAGATTACTAGAAATAATTTCAGTTGATTTTAATGTGCCCTGATACTTTGCTGTGGCATAAATTGCACCACATAATAACAAATACTCAAAAGTGCTAGATTTGTGAACTTTTTAAAAAATAAACATTTCTATGTAGTTGTGGCTTGCAGAAATCAGTTTTTAATTTAGAAAGAATTTGCTCTCACTAGCTATTTAAACACTGGCTCTTGGGCAACTTTGAGTGATATTGCACAGTTTTCACTTCACTGATTAAAAATTCCTCAGACCATTATAAGCAGCTTTATATTTCCTTTTTCTGTTTTCTTATGAAACTGTAGCATTTTCTTTATTTTAGCACCTTCTGGCCTTAACTGATAATTTTGCTTGCACCAGCCCTAATAGATGCAAGGTAGTACACACGCATATGTATATGTGTGCATACATCTATATATACATGTAACCATACACGTTATAGAATGCACCCTCAATAGCAGTTAGTAGGGTTCACTGCACTGTCTGTAAGGCTTTTTGAGCAGTTGAAAGTGATTTCTGCAAGCTGTATACAATATAGCATATATAGTATGATTGTGAGAGTATTTGTCTGGCACAGGTGTCAAGTCATTGAAAACAGGCTATGCCATATTATTGGCAGCTGGAAATAGTTAACCTTCTAATTTTTGGAGGAGTTTTCCAGTCAGCTGAAAATGCTATTTGCCATTCCTGTTATTAAACCATGTTATTTTTTGATAAATTGTCTTTGGATAAGAAAACAAGTTTGCCCATAACTGCCCTGCTTCCTCTAGCTGTGCTCCTCCTCTTCTTCTGCTAGAAAGTGTTATTTGTTACTCAATAACAGGAAGCTGATACTACAAGAGGTTTATTGAAGCATTTTAAATCCTCTTCCTCTTCTTGAGTTTTCAAAGCACTGCATTCCTCAGAATGTCTCCCATAATTTCCTTCTTTGGAGTATTCAGTCCTCTTTCCTTACCTCTGCTGCTGCAGAAGGGATGCTCCAACCTGCATTTACCTTTGAAAACAGGGTTCCTCACTTTTACTTACAGATGTGAATGGGAAGGAAATAAAAAAAGTGCAAACGCAGAGAATGAAAGGGAGCCTACTGAACTGTGGAGATAGAAAGGAGGGCTACACAAAGGCCAAAAAGTGCTGCTGTCCTTGCAGATGAGGGTATAGGATAGCTGCATTTGAATGTTTGGGTTAGGCAGAACTCCACATCCAGGCAGGGTAGCTGGGTGTTTTTGTGTGTGTGTGTGTGCATTCATATGAGCAATGGAATCGAACTTGGCTCTGTTTTCGTCTTACTGTTCATAGACTCAGATATATGTATTTTAGCTTTTTATTTCTGTCTTTAACATTACTTGAATTGGCAGAAGAGAACAAATGATATCATAGGTCTATCATTTTTATAATCTTTTCATGAAACAGTGAATGCAGGTGGTATTGACATGCAGGGCCTTCCTGGAGCTGTTTATATGGGTGTTAGTGTCCTGGTGTAAATAAGGGACTGGCTCTAGCCAGTCAAGCATTGAGAGTGTAAACAGGGCTGTAACCGTCCACCCTCTGTGCACCCTGACTAAACAGACACTGGCTGTACCTGGTGTAGACATAAAATTAAAGCCGCCAGACAGCGTTCTGATTAACCACCTTAATCAGGATATAGATATACATATATAAAAACAAATATATATATCTGTGAGATCTGTCTACCTCTGAATGTGTACTGCAGAAACTTTTTGTGCAAGCAGATATTGATGCAGTGCTGTTAAAGTACACTGGGATTTTATTACTTCCCTGTGTACTTGTGCAACTGAGAAAATAGTTACAAACGTGCAAATTGAGAAGCCTTTCAAATCTCTCTTGCTGTAACAGTCTACAGTACAGAACATATATTTGTAAGTTTATAACCATCTTTAGTATCACTTGAATTTGCTATGGTGCTATCAGTATATTGAAAACTCTGTTTATACCTATATGGATATGTCAATTCAAGCCAGTATTAATACTTACGACTGGTTTTTGTTGCTCATAGTTGTGTGTAACTACTTCTGCAATGAGTTTAATCTGGTAAAACCTCACCAGTAAAAAGAAGACAAAAAAAAATACAAACCCGCCAAGTTATTTTTCTAAATCACACATCACAACATCTTTGCTACAGAAACTTTCCTTTAGCCTTACTAAAAGACTACAATGCAATTGAATTGAGGTCAGAGGGAGGTCTCCTTTGGGTCAGAGCCTTGTTTCACTTCTGTGAAGCTTAAGAGACAGTTCATTTATATCAGGATTATATTGGGTAAAATCACCCTGATATTGTTCAAGGTTGGACTAAATGTTGGACTCAGCGTAAATATCTCTTAGTCCCAGTGAGATCCTGTTAGTTTATTTTGGCTTTCATGAAGATGCCATGACTGTGAAGTAGTTTTCACAATTGCTTACGCTGGTAAATAATCGTGGTGAAGTATCTTGTTGCATTATCCTCAGCAGTGATGAGACTGATGGGTCACCCAGGCTCAGAGTCTCATTAAATATAGTTTCATTAAAAATAGAGAATTCCGATAGAATATATAATATTGAATTAAAATAAGATTTGGGGTTTTAAATTTTAACTTTATAAAATTATTTATTCTATTTTAAGCCTTCTTGTCTTATTTTACCATCCAAGTATTTTTGGTTTCAGTGGTCCAGCTTTATTTACGGGCATATAAAATGAAATTGTAAGATGTTTTTACAAGCTTCTTCCTTTTACATTGAGTTTGAGTAGCTTTTCTTTGTATGTTTTTGTTTTGTATGGATAAAGAGCATTATTTATGCTTTTGTGCAATAGGTTTGAAACATGCATTTATTAGGCATATGTTTAAATTGTAAATGTAGCATCTACTTACCGTTACATTTAAAAGGAATGTAGATGGCTTTTCTCACTTGTTCAAATGGGATTTTATTTGGGGCTGTTATTTGGGGCATTGTTTTATTATTTGTTCCTTTATTATTTTAAGAGTGAAGTGTGGGGTTTAAATTTGTGTAAGTACAAGAACTATCTGTGAGCAATATTTTAAAATAAATGATCTTGCAAGAAACCTTAATGTGAATTGTGGAAGCAATCAGCAAGACTTGCAGCCTATCTGAAAAGTTTTGTGCCATTGTTATGTCTGGTATATTTGTGTACCATCAAACATGGGAATATTTTATTTTTATTAGTTGTGCAATAGTATACACAACACTATCACCTCTGGGGATATGGACCATAAAAAAGTATCAGACTACAACTATGATGGTGCTATTTTTTTCCAATAGGCTATGAGCCTTTGAAAGCTTATCTGGCTCTTATTGTCTTTATAACAACATAGCTAGTCCTAGGAGATTCATTGAGGTTTTTTCTACTAGGTGATAAATATAACCATACAACTGGCCTATTTTACAGCTTTATGCATCTTACCATTGAGCTAAATATAATAGGAAAAAGCCAACCAGTCTGTACATGAGAGATGAATCTTAATAAGTACTTAAAATGGATTTTGTACAGAAGGCTTGACTGTACAGAAAAATCAAGTTTCTGTATTTCCTCAGGTAATCACTTCAGTTCCACTGGAAATGTTAATGCAACCTAGTTCAGTTAGTCTGCCTAAAGTTGCTAACAGGGCGAAAAATTGTCCCATACACTAGAATCTCTACGTAAGATATAATCAACTGTAACTAAGGTCTTGAGATCTGTTGTTGAAGTAAAAAGTTGCAGAGAGAACGACATTAAGGAACACGGAACAATGCTTCAGTCTCTGCTTTAATCAGCACTTGTGATCAGTACAAACACTTCCTAGGAACTTGCATCTTGTGGCAAGTCAACAGGAATGTTTTATTGTGGAGTTATGGTTTATTTATGTACAAATTACAGCTCTGCTCCTGCTATTTGATCCATGTTTGATCATCCTTAGGGCGTCTTGGAAATCTGTGAAAGCCACAGTGACCTGTCCAGATACTAGGGATAGGGTAGGAACTAGATGTCCAATTCTGTGAACATTTGTATTGGTAACTTTGCTAATAATCTGCATGGTTCCATGGAAACCAGTGGGATCATTCATGCAAACAGAAGTGGCTGAAGGAAGGAGCCCTGGTTTTTGAATACTGATGTTCCAGTATTTTTTTTCTCTTTTTATTTGAAATGAAAAGCATTGGTTTAATGGGATCTTAAATTCAAGTGACTTGTCTGGACAAAGGGAGAGTCTGTTCTTTCATTCTGCAACAAGGTTATTTTACAGTTAAGGGACAATAAGCCAGTGCAACCACTAAGCCTTTATCCTTGTATGTGGCATAATAAAGATTCTGGAACTGTCACAGTGTAAAACCATATCTTTTGGCTTAGCTTCATTTGAAAGTTTACAATTTTTTATGCTTTGTGTTGCTGTGTAATTTTTGTACTATTGGTGGCTAGTTTTGTCTGAATAAGCCTTTTGGAATTATTGCTTAATGTTTTGATTTTATGATAGTGAAGCTTGTATCCAGTGTTTTGCCAATTAATATTATATGCTTGTTAATAAAAGCAGAGAAACTAACTGAAAGACTGTCAGGCTGGAAGTTATTGTCCCGTTTTTCCTCAAGAACATAAAGAACTAGCTGTCATAGTATCATCGCACTGAACAAACACAGTGTGACTGAAGCAGTGGTCTGGCATTGCATTGGCATAATCAGCCTTTTATTCAAAACACGAGCATGGCCACTGCACAGAATGGCAGTAAGTCTGGGGCAAGTGTGTGGCAAGTAACTGCCAGCTAGGAAACTAAGTGGCTTCAGCTACAAAGAGGAAGAACACAGTTGCCCTCATGTCCTTATGTATCTGTGGAGGGAAAGGTACTTACCTGACACGTATGTGTCACTTTCAGTCTTACCTGGTAATTACCTGGTAATGTTGATGCGCAGAGGCCTGCTGCAGCATTGTGGAACAAAGGCATTCACTTACACACATGCCAAGTGGAAAACCACATCCACACGCATTCTGATTTGATTTTATTTTACTTTGGTGAGCTGCTAGGGGAAGAAAAGGTCTCTTACTCACAGGAAGCTTTGATTAATGAACTGAATATGTTTTCCTTTCAAAAAAATTGGTCTATTGTGGTGTTTGGCAAACATTGATGCTTGTCCTCCTTGTAATTTCAAGAGCTTTTTTCTTTCAAGATCATTGAGGTTTATATACCTGAATACCTGAACAGATCAAAAGTATGGGGGAACTCTTAGGTAAAATTGATTGAAATGCCTAGTTGAGATAATGCAGTAAAGCTGCAAAGCAGATGCTACAGCAGTTGAATTTCTGGCAGTGTCTATGTGCAGTAACACAAGTTTGTAGGTTGT